GAAATTAGTACAAACTGCCATATTGTTCTGTGAATATGGATAAGAAGGAAGCAGGCATCTTTAACCTCAGAAATATGCATGCTTGATAGTAGTAATAGCTGGCGAGTAATGGAGATCGGAGTTCATGGTTACAATATAAGAAACATCTGAATCCCAGAGCTGCTAAAAATATGAGAGATAAATGAGAAAAGATGTCAAGAACTCATAGTACATATTATTTTTGTAAAGATTTTCTTTGGTACACATAATGTCATAGATAACTCCAAAGACACAATAATCCTTACAAAACTTAATTTGGCAGGCATTAGTAATACTGTTCTACCTACTTTTGCAAGTGGTAGAAAGCTCCAGGTCAGCTTTACAGGGTATGTTGCTTTAGGAGGAAGATTTATGTTTCAGGAATAGTGTACAAGTTGAGCAGGTTATGAGTAAATAACGAATGGTTCAAGTGAAGTAAACCAACAGAATGAAGTATACCAACCCCAGGAGACCCAAGAACAATTTTTCTTGACATATTGAAATCTAACTCTCTTAGCCCACACTTGCATTGGAGAAAACCTAGAAATGACAAGCCAAATGGTTCAGATGACACTTTACTTTGACCAAGGCCTATGCATCATTTTTAGGGGGTGGAGAAAGTACAAGCTTGTAATATGGGCTCCCGACACACAGACACATACCACAGTCCCATTCTACCCATACAATCCCATGGGTCATGAAAGAAACATTTGTATTTTAATTTTAAAATTGTACAGCCTCCACTGAGATTTTTCTACCCCTCTCCTGCATTTGGCTCTGTCTGTTTAATATCCTGCCTGAAGAAGAGGCCTATAAACCTTGATGACTATTTTTGAACTTCTGAGTTGGTCCTCAGAAATGTAATCTGCAGATGTGATGATGATTATGATGATGATAAAAGACAGAGATAGCTGCAAATTTGCTATAAATAGACCGGTGCATTTAAGAATTCTTTTCTGAATGTTTTCATTGCAAAATCATGAATTGTCTGTTACAATTTTAGGTCTCATGCCTAGACCACTGAGAAAACATGATGTTTATAGTATTGAAATACTCCTACTTTTGGTAAAACTTCTGAATATAGGAGTGCTAATGGCGCTATTACTTGGTTGTATTTTGAAACTGTAGCATGAAGAGAAGGTCATGCAGAGGGTAAAAACCCAACCATTCCAGTTAATCGTTTTTTCTTTAGGGGCGTGTGTACCCTGTTTTGCCTGGTTTCTGAAGCAACCAGTGTCTCCTCATGCCTTCCACCTGTACATTCCAGCATTTTGAAAGAGAACTGGCAGACCTGATAATCTCTTTCTCATCTGATCTACATGTTAATGATGTCTAAGTCTGATAGGACAGAGGTCCACTAGCGTGACTCATTGTGTCAGAAATCCACACAGCACCAGGTCTGTAATTTCTGATATACACAGGTCTTTGGAGTCTGCCTGAAAAGCTGCCACCTCCTAACTCTCTTGGTTGGTTGTAAGGGTGCAACAATCAAGCAGAGTTGTTAGCTGCCTGTTCATTAAGGGCAGCTTCTGTCGCAGTACATGGTGTGATGCATTGTTTAAGGAAAAAAGCTTGCAAATCAAGGGTTTCAGTCACCCTTAACAATTTGCTTTGATGCATCCTTTATTATCCTGACCATCTGCTCAGCCTAGCTTTGTTATTGGATAAAAAGGGTTGAATTGACATGCCATTATCAAAAAATGCATGGAATTCCATTGATGTGAACTGGACCCTGTTGTCTCAGGCAATGCCCGGCAGGTTGTGTGCTTTGAAAAGTCTGCATAAGGACCTCACAACAATTTGGGATGTCATTGGTGAAACAAGAACCACTATTTGGAATATTGAGTTAACACAGTAAAGAATGTCTGCCCTTGAATGGGGCTAGCAAAGATGGTACAAAGCTGTGACCATGGAGACTTTGTTGATTCTCATTGTCACACTGGGACATGTGACAGGACCAGTCTTAAAGGTTTGAGATTTGTCATACCCCCTGAAGCATTTTTTAGTCTCACTGTGCATCTTGGGCTACTACACATAGCTACAACCAAAGGCCTACATTCATAGTATGTTAAGGTGTCCCATATGTAGAACTTTCCAACACTACCTCCCTCACAACTGTGGGAATAGGACTGTCTTGTTCCAGAGGAGACACCCCTTGGCCATGGACAGTTCATGCTGTTTAGCTACCAGTGGTCCAGATTTATTCTCAGGCTTTCCTGATATCTATTCAAGCTTTCCACAGCCAGTTGAGAACACAGACATGAACTGGGTCCCTGGATGGTGCATGTGGAGGGGTGTCTCTGGAACCTGGCCTCCCTCTAGCACAGGGAATGCATTGTCTTCAACACATGGGAGAGAGAGGTGTATGATATTCTTGCCAGATACTGTAGGATGTAGTCATGTTCATTCAGAAAGGTTGCTAAATGCAGCATACATGGAGATAACATTGGATGTGTCTGCAAGAAAAGTTGGGTAGCAGGGATAATGGATGGCTCACTGTAGACATAGTCATGGAAGTAAGTTCTGAGCATTTGCTACAGCAGCCAGGGCACCCATATCAATTAGGGCAGTTATATTTTGCTACAGATATGGTTCAGGAGTACAAACCAATCTTACAAGTTGGTGACTCAGGACAACTCTATACCATAACTTGCACATCTGAGTTGTGGTTTGTAGAGTCATATTGTGCTAGGAAACTTGTTTGGATCTCAGAGTTCCTGTAGCACCTGCTGTGATGGAGCATTGAACCCTATGAATGTCCAGTAGTTGCAGGTCAGGAGCATCAGCCTGCTGGAATTCTGAAGCAGGTGGTTCCTTCCCGAACTCATTTTGTGAGTACACCATGCTGTTGCTTCAGCATCTAAAGCTTCCTTCACCTTTTGGAATATAAGCTGCCTTCCTACAAACAGCTGCACTTGTAAGGCCTCATCATGCTGGCCACATTAGCATTTCCTCCTCTAAATCTTGAAAATTGTAATCCTGTGCCAAATGTCTAAGCTCTGGTTCCATTTAAAGACAGAATAATGTATTGCTTTTTCAGAGAGTTTTGTGAAGAAGTGCCCTTGCAAAGTAGCCAGAATATCCCCACTGGGTGTATTAGCATGTTTGGTTCATACAAAGAGGGTTTGGGCTAAGATAAATGCACTCCTATGCATATGTAACTTTCACTGACTTCAGTGGAGCTTATTCCCAAATACGTGAGTAAAAGATTGCAACCTTCCTCATGCATGCATTGGGCGTGTGAATCCTCCACCTGTCACAGTGTCCCTGGAAATATTACTGCATTTTCTACCAACAATAACTGTCCTTTCCTATTTCAGAAGGAACTCTAGATGTGTTAATTCTCTTTCAAATGATAAATTATGGCACACATTTGCTGTTCTAGAGCTGGGACAGCAACTCACTGTTTAGCATGGTGCATGTTCTGCTTCTGATTGGCTCCAGTAAAACTCCTTAATATTTGGACAACAGACACAGGGATTTTTTCCCATAAATATCCTCAAGCACAAGCTACCATTCAGCCTCAGTTTTTCTCTCATTGCAATGGCATTGCAGCTTTGGCCAGGTACCCTACAGTATGGGTCTTGGTAAAATGTACCCCCATGTTTGGAACCTGGCCTTCACTGCCCATTAATTAGACTTCGTTATTAGTACAGAGCCTTTGAATAATGTCGCATGATCCCTAATAAGCACCTGCTCTACATAGTTTTTAAATTATATGTTTTCTAAGAAAAAAAGTATGTGGATTGCTAAAAGATAAAAATAGATGAACTGAGAAAAGGATTGTTCAACTTGCACTGAATTTTCCTGCTGGAGAAGTATCAGTTTCTTCAGCCACAGCCACTATAGCTATGCTTTCTTTCCAAGTCCATGTGACTTACAAGTACCTCTTCTAGCAGTGACAGTGCTGCCAAACTGACTGTAACAGGGGAAGTTCCCCAAGAGGGAAATGCCAGCACATGCAAGGCTTTGCAACTCCTGTTGCTATTTTGACACAATGGTTGCTGTGCCAACAACATTGATCTGTCTAGATTGCCTGCAAGAGCAGCATCTGGAGCTTAACATCCACAGACCAGCTGCAGATGTCTTGGTTGTTTATTCTGTGTGCCAGTCAACTATAAAAACCCTCCCAATGGAAGCAGCTTCTGTGAGAGTAGGTACAAAAAGCTCTACTAGCCTCACACAACACCTGTGTCCAGCTTGCATTGTTCTCAATAGATCTGGGGGGAAATGCAAGCTGTACAAAGGCAAATGTATTTTGTATGCAGAATGCCTCATCCCAATTTGTGTTTCCCCACCAAATGAAGGTGATTTCTATGTTGGGGTTTAGGAGTCTGGCAAGCTGCTTCCTAAGTATGGCTTGGTTCAAGATCAACATTGGGGTTAACCAAGCCACATTAGTCCAAAACTTCAGCTATGCTATAGTTAAACTGAGAATTTCAGCATTAGTATTTCTAGAATTTCCAAGCAATAGTTATTATGTTGGATGACCACTATAATGTAGTCTGGCCTGATCACTGTAGCTCATCTTTCATGTCTTCCTTCTTATTGACTGTTAGATAGCACCTCACATAGTTTATTAAATGAAACATTAGAAAATACTGCATGTGTTGAATTGTAGCTAAGAGACTGAGTTGTAAACTGAGAAGTCTGCAGTTTACAATATCACATCTCTGTGAAAACTCACGAGGTGGTTTTAGACAAGCCACTGCCTCTCAGCTTTATTTCCTCATCTGCATTCTGGATTCAAGACCAAGCAACCTGACAGATGTGTGGTAAGAATTTCTGCCTAAAGTATATAAAAGGCTTCTAACATTCAACACATTTAAATGCAAGTATTCTTGTCCCAACACAAGGATTTAAAATATGTCCTAGTCGTTGCAATATGAGAATTGCTCTTATTATTAATTAAATCCAAATTAATTAAATGTTAGTCATTTCTCCACAGTTGTGGCTTTCTTGTGTTTGCTCTTGTATTTCAGTTACGTTCCAGCACAGAGCTTGACCAAGACATTCTCAATGACTGTCTCACTATCCAACCTCTGCAGCCACCTCTATCGCCACATGATGCTTCAGATAGTGCTGTCAGGCAATCCCCAGGACCAGTGCATGACATTTACACAGGTATAGTAGAAAAAAGAAAAGAAAGAAAGAAAAAGAAAGAAAGGAAGAGACATTATAAGTACAGAAGGAAGGTATCTTTTTGTCCAGCATACCATTCCTTTACATAACAATTCTATAACTATCTAATCAAAAGTAAATACCATTCAGTGGGGTTTGCTTCCAGGTAGGTGTGTATAGGATTGCAGTCATGTCAGTCATTTCATTGCTAGTAAAAGCAAAAGAAATGGAAACAAAAGCAAAAGAATTCAAGATCTAAAAACAATATGCATGATTCTGGAGGGATAAGGATATGATCCTGACAAAGGTAACATCTTGAGACTGTATTTCTTCAAAGGGAAAAAATAAGCACAGTTTCCCCATGCTTATAACATGACATTAACAGTGGAGTCCTGTATGTGTCTGCTCAAAATTAAACACCAATGAGGGCTTACTCCCAGATAAGTGGGTATAAAGTTGTAGCTTAAAATACTTACCTTTGCCTGGATTGGGCTCCTATCTCTTTCTATACAACTGCAATGAGCAGTCCCTTCATTGTGAAACTGAACATCTCTTGAAGCATGCTTTACAAAATATTTCAGAGCCAAAGAACATAGAGGACAGTGTGATGTATTAATTTCAAATGAGTTAACATTGAGCCCTTACTTGATTTCCCTTTTGAGATGCATTTTTGAAATGTGGGGGTGTAATTTTGCTGAACATTTCTAACAATACATTTTTGCTGCAACAGATGAACACAGCTATCCTCCTGCCAATTTCAGGTTACTACTTCATGCAACTGATGAATTGGACAGTATCCACAAAAGCATGTGTCAAAATATATTTGTTAGTCTCTAAAGTACCATAAAACTCTGTTTTGATTGATTAACATGACTTCTCCTTTGGAAATCACTGTATTTTATTCCTTTCTTCTGTTTTTTCTTAGCGTGTTTCCAGATGAGGCTTTTATTGTGCAATCACCCTGCCTAATTTACAAAATTTTACAGGGGGGTCTGTATGTATTCCATTTGTAATTCACTATTTGTAACTCAATCCATTTTCTCACCAGAACTTTTATCTTCCCACCAATACTCTATTGAAGATGAGATGGATTAGCTGTACCATGTGTTTTGATTGAGAGCATTAGATGTCTGTCTGGAAGTGTTGTTGTTGTTAGTCGCGAAGTCGTGTCCAACCCATTGCGACCCCATGGACAACATTCCTCCAGGCCTTCCTGTCCTCCACCATCCCCCGGAGTCCACTTAAACTCACACCAACTGCTTCAGTGACTCCATCTAGCCACCTCATCCTCTGCCGTCCCCTTCTTTTGCCATCTATTGTTCCCAGCATTAGGCTCTTCTTCAGGGAGTCCTTCCTTCTCATTAGGTGGCCAAAGTATTTGAGTTTCATCTTCAGTATCTGGCCTTCTAAAGAGCAGTCAGGGTTGATCTCCTCTAGGACTGAT